AAACCCCCAAAACATAACAATTTTCAAAGATATTATATAATACATATGAATACATAAATTATATTAATTAAAAAAACATATGAATACATAGAATATAACAGGATACATTGAAATATAATAAAATACAGTGAGATATATTGAATTACAATGGAAAAAATAAAATACATGAAAATACACGTGATTCGTTGAAAATACATTGAAATATATTAACAGAAAATCAAGGCTGTCAGCTTCAAACTCTGTCGTCTTTGCTCAACAACAAACCTTAATTACCATCCTTTCCTTTTATCTTTGACCGGTGCTGCACGATATCTCTCTTATAATGATCTCTAAATACTTAGCGAAAAAGAATGATGGTTTGCGCTTGTTTTGTGTGGGTTAGGGTTTGTTGTCGTTGTGTGTTAGAAGGAGGAGAGCAGAAATTTTAATGGGATGAGGAAGAGAATGGAATGTATCAAAGTAGAGAGAGAAAGAAATAGTGTAACTGATTAACATATTTAGTGGTTTAGGACTAGGAGGTAACCAAAATTAAATATTTTGCTATAAACCTTAAAATATATCCATACAATATAATTTTATTAAATGGTATTTATTTAAAATAAATAAGGTGTTAACCTTTGCTATAAGAGGTAAAAATTCCTATTATAAACCAAAAGTAAAGTGACTTCAGTTTTCAACATCACAACTATGGACGTTTGATCAGTAAAATTGGGTACTTGCCAGTAAGCGGAAAATTTTATTTCGTGTCTCATACAACTTGTATGAGGCTGCTTTTTGTCTCATAGTTTTGTGGACCCAGATTTTTGTAGACCCAGAAGTGTAAGATTGGGGTCCTTAAATTTTTGAGATAAAAAGGAGCCTTATACAACTAGTGTTAGTTGTATGAGACACAAAATAAAACTTCTCCCGCTCAGTTGGCTTGCCTTTGACTATATTGTACTTTTCATTAATTAATGTTCCATGCCTTTGAACTGATTTTGAGATTTTTGTAACCATTGTTTTGCGTATGAAGTTATGTATTCATTAGTCCCATTTTGTTTAAAAGAATGGACGAATTCCAAAAAGTTATTTTTCAAAATTTTCACTTCAATTCATTCACAATAATTCAAAATAGTTCCAAATTGTGTTCATGTCCAAACACAATTCTAATTTTTAAAATATTATTTCACTTAAATTTTGTCGTTACCTACAAGTTAGGGATATATTGTACTCCCTTAGTTTTATATTAGATGTGGTACTTTCCTTTTTAGTCTGTTCCAAAATAAATGACACATTTCTAAATTTGGAAATAATTCAACTTTAAACTCTTTTATTTTACCCATTTACCTTTAATGAGAAGCTTTAATAGCCAAACAAAAGTTTTTAAAACCACAAGCTTCAAAAATCTTCTCTTTTTTTTTTAAATTTCGTGTCGAGTCAAACTACTTCATCTAATATAAAACGGAAGGGAGTGTATTTTAACAATATCAACTAACTGTTGGATCCTCGTATGCACCTCCAGCACCTGAGGACATCACATCTGAAAGAACAACACTCTCTGGAGCTCCCCAACGTACTTAGTGGTCGTCTGGTAGGAGTATAAGAATAATGCATAATGCGGTGTATTAGTAATGCACGGGTTAGTATGCAAGCATTAGTTATGCAGATGTTATTTCTTATTTACTGTTTGGTGTGGTGTATTAAAATTATGATGTATTGCATAATTTGTAAGAAAAATAGTTGTTTACAAAAATACCATTTATATTCTCTAGATTTAAGGTGCTATAAGGACAATTTTGTCTTTATCGATACTAATGCGTGCATTAATAGGTTGGTATTACTAATGCCATAGTTTTTTATGCATTACTTATACATAGGATATTAGTTATACACATGTTGAAAAAATATACCAAACAAAGTATTAGTAATGCATAGAGTTGATGCTTGCATCATTTTTTCTAATTCAATCTACCAATACTTTTTCTCATTGTTCAATTGACGAGCTCTAGGCGTATGTGATTTTCTCGCTCATACTTATCAAATTATAGTATAGTTTATGATATCGTCCACAGAGATCGGAGAATCTATGCTATATATTTGTTTTATCCAGCCTACTCTTTAAGAGAGTCTATTCGGTGAAAAGGGTTGAATTTATAAACTACTTGAAAACAAGAACAATTGTTTTTGATTTTGTAAGTTAAAGGAGTTAAGATTTTGTGCATCCACCTGATATAAGATTATAATTGAGTTTTAGAAAGTTTTATTTTCTATGCCACACATTAATTGCCTCTTTCGATTAAAAAATAATATTTCTACCACATGTCTTTTATTTAATTTCGCCTTTTTCGATTTGCATAATAAAACAAAAAACTCGTAGTATTGACATAAAAAATATCTTATCTTAAATGAGTACATCATTTAAACATAAAGCCTCTTTCGATTAGCTTTAGTCCTCTAACTTGGCTAACTGATTTTTCTTCTTTCGAATGAAAACTCAATAAATCAAGACAAAGAATTTTAAGTAACTAAATATGATTACTTCAAATTATCACACGAACATATCTAGCCGTAACTATCCCTGTTTAATTCTTGCTTCTTTTGATGGCAAAGATTAATATAAGGAATATTATAACATTTAATATGTGGATATGATAAAGTTGACTAATATATATTCATTACTCTTGATGTAAAAATTAGCAAATATGTACTCTCACTCAAGAATAATAAAAAGATCGAAATTTCCATTCAAATAATATATTAAGCTTCTCCATCTATTTCAACGGAAAGAAAATTACTCCATGGAGAAAAATAGGGAAAGTTAAGAAGGTTAAAATTCTTACTATTTCAGAAAAGAAAATATTCTTTCAAAACTTAAAGATATGCCAAAATTGTAAACTAAAATAACTTCTTTCTCTCTCGTTGCCCCCTTTTCTATTGAAAGTCATGCCTCTTTTTATAGGAAAAGAAAACTATAAACTTCAAGGATGCCATCCTCGTATTAGGGATACGATTCTTGGTCTACAACACCAACATGGGGATGTCATTCTTGGTCTTGTATGTGGTCTGGATGCCATCCTCTATTCTTAAACTCAATTTCCTCCAACTTTCTCTTCTCATGGATGACAACTCTGGATGGAGGATGTTATCCTTGGCCTCTGTCTTTGCTTCTGCTTTCTTTGCCCTTTTTTCTTTTTCTCTCCCTCAATACTTAATATATATTTGTACCAATATTGAGAAAATTATACAAATAAAAGTAAAATATTTATTTATTTAATACTATATATACCAATATGTGTGTGTGTGTGTATATATATATATATATATATATATATATATAATCAATTGTTGCTCCTACTTGTATCTAGGGGTGTCAATTGTTCGGTTCGGTCGGTTATTTTATAAAATTTGTATCATACTAATTTTTCGGTTATTCTGCTTAGACTTTCTAAAACCGTCTCAACCATCTCGATTTCTCTTCGGTATCGGAACGATAGTTAATTTTCGGTATTTTTTCAATGTCTTATAAGTCACTAGTGGAATGCAACAACATACGTACTTTTATAGGACTTAGCAAACTCTCTAGATATATTTATTGTTAAAAGGGTAGTGAATTAAGAAAATATGAAAGATGACCAGAGTATAGATTCATCAACTATTCTACAACGACGTAAAAGAAACTTAGCAAAGATACAAAAAAATAAATCACACGAGTGGAAAGATACTAACCAAGTTAGAATTCAAGAACAAAGTTTATAGAAGATTAAATATTCAAAAAGATAAATCTAAATTATACGATATGCAATATATTGTAATTTGTTACTCATATCGCTATAATACTTTGCGTCTTTCTAGTGAATATGCTGAAATAATTTAATTTCAATAGTAGTAGCATAATAGATTTGAGACTTCTGATTTTGAGTTTAATTACTTATTGGCTTGTAATTGTTCTCAATTCTCATAACTCCGTCCCAAGGAAATATTTAATGCTTTATTATTTTAAAACTTAATATATAAATATATTTTCCACATGTAAATTTATTCGTATAGTTTGGTATTTTTTGATTTATTTTCAATAAAACAAAAAAACTACACTAATTAACGGTACAGTTACAGATTTGTATAAAAATCTACGATTTTATTAAAAGAAACCTAAAAATCGGTTTGATCAATTTTTAAATATCTATTGACACCCCAACGTATATCAATGAAGTTTATCTACAATTATTAATAAAATCTTTATAACTTTCATTTTGTTTTATTGTACTGTCTCTATTTTCTGATAACCAAATTCTACTATCTCTATTTTGTAATTTATGCTGCCAGTGCTCCTTTTTTCGTCAGATATTTAGCATCCACAATTTGATTCTCACCTTGGGGTCCTGAGAACTATCTTCCATCATACCAGCTTCTTTTGTTTTCATTGCTCTGTTCTGACTTGCACAAACATTGATCCACTAGTCACACTGAGAAAGCTTATAGATATAATAAGGTAGATGCAAGAGTAATACACTACTAAATAAAAGATACAAGTCATTTGACACGAGAGATTTGGGTTCAACAAGACAAATTATCCTCGTGAAAATTGTTCGAGCTAGAGCATATAGAAAATTGTGAACATCACAAGAGAAGTACATTGATCGTTTACTAGAGTGCTTCAAAATGAAGAGTAATAAGCCATTTTACTTGCGTCTTCCTGGTCGTGTGAAGTTAAGCAAACAGGTGGTCCTAAAAAGAAAACACGGCCAAATACCAAATGTTTAATCAAAATTTTCTTAAATATAAAACAAAAGCAAGATGCAACAACAGGTTGCCAGAGAAAACTCCAAGTTTTATCTCTGCATACCTGCTGACCTCCTTAATGGGAACATTCTTTGACCTATTCACTCTCAGTAATTTAACATGCTTCTTGCAGATCTATGAGGAAAAAAACTCAACCTCTGGGATTTTGATCATGTGGAAACTCACAAACTTAAACTCAGAATAACCTGCCATCAAAAGCCACTAACGCAACCACAAGAACATGGCACAAACTTGAACCAATATTCATAACTAAACAAGTTCATGCAAGGACCTGTTTTATACAAAGCTCTTAGACTCGGCAACCATCTAAATAGGCACTACAAAACTAAGTATTTGAATAACATGATAATACTCATAGAGCTACTACATATATTGATCGAACTCTAGAATATTTCAATTGAAAAAAAACAGAAAACACCTTAAAAGAGAGATTGCCTCTGTGAAGCTTTCTTCCCCAGTATTGCCTCCCAAACCAGTGGCAAGAATGGCCCTTTCTTGTCCAAATATTCCCTAACAGCTTTCTCATCAAGGGTAAAACCCTTCTGCCTCACCGCTTTAATCATGCTTTGGGCATCTTCCAGACTCTTCTCTTTGCAATACCCATCGACCAAACCTACAAAGGTCATCAGGTTGGGGGAATGTCCAGCCTCCAACATCTCCAAGCAAAACTCGAGGGCGTCCTCTAATCTCTTGCCCTGACAGAGCCCGCGGATTAAGATACCGTAACTAAAAGCATTTGGAATTATGCCATTGCCTTGCATTTTCCGGAAGATCCTCACAGCATCATCATATTTGTGGGCTTTACAAAAGCCTTCTACCACAGCAGTGTAGATAACAACTTCAGGTATGGCACCCTTTTCACGCATCAGGCCAAAGAGCTTCATGGCCTCCTGGACCAAGCCGTCCTTGCAAAGCCCATCTAGCATAGCTACAGCATTGGGTATTAGGCCAGTTTCTTTCATTTTCTTGAATATCTCATCTGAATCTTCTGGTGGAGCTGGAGGTGCCTCGGAAGCAGGAGCGTCACTCCTTTCACCTTCGGGGTGAAGTGCAGGATTGGTGTTTGTATTTTCATCTTTACGATCAAATCCAAGCTGAAACCTTTTCAGAAAGTCTTGGCTATCCTGGGACTTGATTTGATTTTCATTATTCTCACCAGGTTTTCTAAAAGTTGTAGAATGGGTGGGGTTGCTGCTGCCGGGGCGCTGCCTTTGCGATGGATTGAAGGGCCTTCTAGGATCAGCTCTTAAGGGCCTATTCGGTATAGGATCAGGTGGAGGAGGGTAGCTGGACTGAGTGGATTCATCAGAGTATTTGTTAGAGCTGCTAAACGAGCGTAATTTTGTTGAGGAAAGTATCTCATTTACATTCACCTTAGGACAGCAGAGATTGCTGTAATATTTCCAATAAATGTTGATACCCTTCTGCCTCAATAAAGTTGTTCTCATAATGCTTATGTACTTGCTTCAGAATAGCGCCCAGTGTTACTTAGTTCTTCAATGCAGCAAAAGATAGCTTTATCCTGCTATTCCAGACAAAAACTCATGTCAGTAGACCAACGAATGAAACTTCAGTTGAAATAAACATTCATACCATGCAATCAAAAACACAAAAGCACTCATATGCACTTTCTTTTACTTATCACCTACAAAGAGAAGTGTTTCAAAAAACGGATAGAGGATTAACTACATGTATGATAGTACAAAAAAGCCGATGTCTACGATAACAAAATACTAGAGCATGAGAAGCAGCAACAGAAAAGTATACAACAATGTTATAAAAGTGTCAGAAATCAAGGTCAAGACAGAAAAAATGAGCAATACAACATCTAAAGGCACAATGTCGATCAACAGCATGCCAAGAGCAGAGAACTCCAGAAAAGACATGGAAATACCAATATAATCCCTTTAAGACGGTTGGTGACAAAGCAATTACTTCTAGTTCCATTGTTTAACCTGTAACTGACCTGTATCCACTTGATAAATCAATAAACCCACCACACTTCAATTCCAACTAGTAGCAGTTGGCTACATAAATCTTACATATCCATTCTCCCTTATTTGGCTTACTTTATTCCAATACTAAAGTTTGTCTTTTAAGTCAAACAAAGGTTTATCTAAACAAAAAAAAAATTCTCTAATACCCCACTTATATCCAATGATAATGACAACAAAAATCCAACAACTCAAATTAAAAAGGCCACATAATGATAGCTTTAAACGCAAAATCAGTGAACAAATATCAATTAATCAACTAGTATTACATTGAAAATGGGGAGTTGGGTGGGGAGAATATTACACTGCACTCACTAACAATTACTTTCTCAGTCCCAATTTGTCCCGCACCTTTGCTTATCGATAGCCAAATTAACTAATTTTCTGAGCTAAACGGGATAAGATTAATTTATTTTTCAAAAAGATTCAAACTCAATTATTAGTTGCAATGTTCCTCTTATCAAAATGGCTAAAAAATTACATTCAAAATAAAGGTTAAAGTTCACTTAGGTTGAATCTCGAAAAGCCAAACAATTTAGGATAAGAAAACAACAATCTTGAATTCGTAAAATAAATTCTCCTAGTAGTTAGAAATATCAAATTCCATAAATAGAGAGATTTGGTAAAATGATTAAAAGCTCTTTTCTCTTCAGAAAAAGACTAGAAATTTATAACTGCACAATAATATTTCTTCTTGACGGGTTATCAACAACAAAATACTTCAATTTTTTGACTCATTACAAAGAGAAATACAAAGGGAAAACATATGAAAGTAAGAAGTCAGCTTACAGTTACAGCGGTATTTTGCCGCAGAAAGATGTTCGGAGAAAATTCACCGATGGAGGAACCGACTACTGAAGCAGCATTACGTACAAAGTCTAAATTGGGCCAGAATGTGCGAATTTTAGAGATAATTGGGCTGGTTGACCACTTTTTGGTCCCGTTTTAAATATTAGAAATGTAGTTGAAAAATAACCAATTCTTAGTTACAAAATTAACCTAAATAGCAGCCCATTCAATTAATTAAACTAAAAATAACCGGAAAATATATAATTTATATATAATCTATGTACAATATATGTATAATCATATATAATCTATGTTTACCGGCTAGATTAAGTAAATAATAAAACCAGGCGGCTATATGTATAGATAATTGGGCTGGTTGGCCATTGTTTAGTCTCCTTTTGGTTATTTTTCAAGTTCAACAGGTGGTTATTATTTAAAACAGGATCAAAAAGTAGCCAACCAACCCAATTATCTCTAAAATTCGCATATTCGGGCCCAATTTAGACTTTGTACGTAATGCTGCTTCAGCAGTCAGTTCCTCTATTGGCGAATGTCCTCGGAACATCTTTCTGCGGCGAAATACCATTGTAACTGTAAGCTGCCTTCTTACTTTCATATGCTCTATCTTTATATTTCTCTTTGTAATGAGTCAAAAAATGGAAGTATTTTGTTGTTGATAACTCGTAAAGAAGAAATATTACTGTGCAGTTATAAATTTTAAATCATTTGACCTAATCTCTCTATTTAGGGAACGTGATACTTGATATTTCTAACTACTAGGAGCATTCATTTTACAAATTCAACATTGTTGTTATCTTATCCTGAATTGTTTGGTTCTTTTGGCTTTTAGAGATTCACGTAAGTGAACTTTAACCTTAATTTTGTAATGTAATTTTTTTTAACCATTTTGATATGAGGAGAATTACAACTAATAATTGAGTTCTTTTTGAAAAATAAATTAATCTTGTCCTATTTAGCTCAGAAAATTAATTAATTTGGCTCTCTATAAGCAAAAGTGTCAAACAAATTGGGACTGTGAAAGTAACTGTTAGTGAGTACAGTGTAATAGTCTCCCCACCCAATTCCCCTTTTCTCAATGTAATAGTAGTTGATTAATTGATATTTGTTAACTGATTTTGTGTTTAAAGCTATATTTGTGTGGCCTTTTTGAAATTACATTTCAATGATGTTTAAATTGAGTTGTTGGATAAGTAGGGTATTTAGAGAACTTTTTCTTTTGTTTGGTTAAACCTTAGTTTGTGTTGGGACCAAACTAGGTTTGTAGTTGTTGTTGTTAAACCTTAGATTGACATAAAAGACAAACTTTAGTATTGCAATAAAATAAGTCCAAATAAAGGAGAATGGATACATAGGATTTGAGCCGAGGGTCTTCAGAAACAGTCTTTCTACCTCCACAGGGTAGAGGTAGAGTCTGTGTACACATTACCCTCCCCAAATTCCAGTTGTGGGATTATACTGGGTATGTTGTTGTTGTTGGATATATAGAATTTATGTAGCTGACTGCTACTAGTTTGAAATTGGGTGTAGTGGATTGATTGATTTATTAAGTGGATACGAGTCACTTGTAGGGTAAACAATGGAACTAGAAGTAATTGCTTTGTACCAACAGTCTTAAAGATATTGTATTGGTATTTCCATGTCTTTGTTATCAAAGGTGCCCTTAAACCTTGAAGCGAGGCTCAAAATATGTTGAGCGCTTCGCTTTGCTTAGCGAGCGCTTCAGTGATGTCATCATGGCTCTAGGCATACAATATCATTTTATCATAGATTTTCTTCAATTTCTTTGTCCATATATTTGGTATTCATGCTTATAGATATTAATCATGGACTACATATACATATTTGTAGTTTTTATCCACTTGCACCTTTCTTAATTAAATCTCACATTTTTTTGTGCTTTGCATTAAAAGCCCCAATAGACCTTAGAGCTTTTTTGCGCTTTTCTCCTTTGATAACATTGTTCTAGACTTATCTGCTCTTACCACATAGCTGATCAATGTTGTGGACATCCTTTAGATGTTGTATTGCTCATTTTCTTTCTTGGCCTTGGTTTCGGAAACTAATAACATTGTTGTATACTCTTCCGTTGTTGCTTCACATGCTATTGTATTGTGTTATTGTCGACATCTTCGATTTTATACTATCATTACATGTAGTAAATCCTCTATCCATTTTTTTGAAACACTTATCTTTGTAGGTAAAAAGTAAAAGAAAGTGCTTTAGTGTCTTTGAATGCATGGTATGAATGTTTATTTCAACTGAAGTTTCATCGTAACCTCTTTCTGCGGCGAAATTCAGCTGTAAGTCTGTGTCTTTAAGCTCACTTCTTTCTTTCTTTTGCTTTCTCTATATTTCTCGCTCTAATGAGTCACAAAGATGAAGATATTTCTTTCTTTAAGCGAATTTTAGAGATAATTTTAAAATTCCAACATTTCTTTCTGGAGTTTTTTAGCAGCCAAAATTTTTTTTCCGTGTTAAAAAATAATAAAAGTTGAATGGTTTTGAAATGCTGATTAAAGCTTGATTAGCAGTTCCAAAAGTGTCTATTTTCTAATATCTTCCGAATTAATCCTTCCAATCTTTTATGAGCCAGCCTAGATTCTCCAATCGTCCTAAAGAATACTGGGCCTATTGAAGCTCAAGAAAAGTCTTTCATCTAGGGTTCCACTTAAAAACAAACCTCTATTCCTACCTTCTGGTTCCAAAGCCTCAAAGAAAAACCCTAGCTCAGCTCGTTTCAAGTTAGTTTCAATTTTTGCCTTCAAAGTCCCAAATATTTAATTATACGTATATTTCTTCATTTTATTTCTCGTTATTAAATTGTTTGTGCAAATCTTTCAGTGAAGTGTAAATGAAGTTAGCTTTCAACTGAGTTTTATATGAAATCATTGCATCAAATGCTTGAATAAACTTTGTTCCATCTTACATATTGAGTAGATATTAATATTATTCAATAAATTGAAAGTATGGAATATTGATATACAATTATTTATCTGTTTGTTATTTCTGAGGTACATATTTATGCAAGATGATATTTTAATTTAAGTGGTCACCTGCCTAGTTAGATATAAGCTCAGTTAGCAGACCGATGAGCTTGTGAATCATAGTAAGTGTTCAAATTAGGTATTTATGAAAATTTGAGTTCAGTTGGAGGATGATTTTTTATTTTGGGATTTTAATCAGGCATATGTAGAACTCAAAGCAGGACTATACGTTTTGCATATCTAATTACAAGTTTTTGAAAGCTGAATTTATGTAGCTTTGCGACTATTGAAACTTGGATTGTGAATAGCAACTTGTTTATAATGAATACCAAGGGATATCTCAAGAATAATTCTTGAATGCAAGCAAATGCCTCGGTATGTGAATTATAATGATAAGCCTATCTAGAAGCAAAACTACATAAAAAAGACCATTAAGAAATTTGTGCTAGAACACCTAGAAGATACCATAGGTGAAAATAGAACATGTTGGAATGTATATACACTTGTACAAGAGCATTTTGGTTGACCTATGTAGTTGGTTGGTTTCGTTTGGCCTACTAGTCAGTAGTCATTCTAAAGCTAATCTAGTTGAACTGCCCCATCTCGTAAGCCTTTAAAGATCTGCTCTTTTAGGTTCTCTCAGTAAATCCACCAAAGTTCTGTGCATTCTTGGTTCATTTTGCTCCAGGAATGCCATCTTTTATTGATATTGTTTCTTTTCTATGGTGCTGTACAATGTCATATATGGGTGGAGATAAAGGGAAATGTTAGATACGGTTGAGTACGCAGTTCATATTTACTTGTGTTTTTGTTCCTTAAAATTCAAAGAACCGTTTTCAAGCAACATTACGAAACAAGCAGCTTCGAACAAATGAACAGTCATGTCTCATTAGAGAATTCAACAAATGAACTAATTCAGCAGATTCGAAAACAAGCATAGTGGCAAGGAAAACAGTGATGTCTCATTCAAACTTAACAAATATCAAATGCGAATGAATTTTTAATATCAAATACCTCAGACTACGATCTCAACTCTGTTGGCCCAACGTTGCAGCTGCTGATGCACCACCAACGTGTGCTAAGGCAGTAGCAGCAGTAGGTATCGAGAGAAAAGGAGAAGCCAGTAGAAGCTCGGATGAGTGAAAGGATCGACGAAGCTTGAAAATCTGGTGCGCGGCTGATTTCCGGCGTTCTTTGTGTGTGTATCTGTTTATATGGGTGTGTGTTGCGGCTGAAGGTTCCGAAAATGAGAGGAGGGATTCATTTCTTGTCTTAGGAGATTCAAGAGTAGCTTGCCGCCGGTGATGAAATCCGGCAGCAGCAGTAACGGTCGGAAATCGCTTAAGAGAGGAGCTTCGTTTGGGTGGTGGACGGCTGGTCTAGGTTCGAAATGGAGAGGGTGGAAACGGGTTGAAGAAGAAGAAGAAAAGTCGCTGGTTGAGGGCTGGTGGTGGCTGTGGTCGTTTGGTGTGAGGTGAAGAAGCAGCAGCGGCTGGAATGGGATCTTTGGTTGGTAAAGGGTCGTCTCTGGATGCTGCTTTGAAGAGGAGAGGTCTGAAGAAGAAAACCCCTTTGTTCCTTAGGTTAGACATGGTTATTAGGGTGGGCTTGGATTACGGGGCTGGGTTTGAATTGGGCCAAATTTACCTTTAAAAAGTGACCTTTTAACTCTACTAAACTAAGAATATTAATTCCTAAAATAATAATTATAAAATTATGAAATTATTCTTAATTAATTAAAACAAACTACATTATGACATGAAGTTATATATATTGATATTTTCGAAGATTATACTAAAAATAAAAGTGGGTTAAAAATAATATTTTTCTAAAAATACTTAATACCTTAATTAAATAGAAAAAAATAAAATAATTTTTGTATTTTTTCAATTTTTGTGATAAAATAAAGTAAAAGAGTCAAAACTAGTTAAAATTTCGATATTAGACCTAAACTAAATATTTAAATGCTAAAAAATATAAAATCTCGGGGAGGCTAAAAAATTACATGTCTACCGCTGTTGTATGTGCGTAAGCTCTGTATGGATAAAATGTAAGACAAGAAATGCTCAGCAATTTATGTTTCCCTGAACGTTTCCATATTTATGTTATGAGATCACATAACTCTTAAACTTATTGAGATATTTCATGTTTGAATTATAACTATTGATATTGCTTCTTAAATATTACTTTAGATAATGTTAAACTAGTCCCCTGAGCCTTTACATGTTCAAATCTAAATTCTTAAAATGCTTACCCTATTTTTCCTCAGTTATTTCTTGTTGTTTGGATAATAATCTTCTCATATGCTTTCTCGTCCCCTAGGGCAGCCTCTAATATTTTTGAATCACATAGACCTACTTCTTTAATTGCCAAAATTATGTTTCTTTTTCATGTTACATTAGTGTTTATTTGTTCTCATGATAAATTTCCTAGACTTTTCAATTGTTAGTAACTTCATTCCATATCATCGGCGTACACAGGTAAACCATGAAGCATAAAAATGTTATCCCCAACGGGCACTTTAAGAAGCATTGGCAAAACTATGTAAGGACATGGTTTAACCAACCTGCTCGAAAAACAAGGAGACGCATTGGTGAGTTTCCATTTGTTGGATGGCTTCAAGTCTCAAATTAAGCTTTGGCTCTAGTATACTTACATTTCCTGACCTCTTTTGTTTCTACAACTCCAGCTATGCAGAAGAAAGCTGCAACAATCTTCCCTAGGCCAACATGACAATGTTCATTGAACTACTACATATATCGATCGAAAAACAGAAAACACCTTAAAAGAGAGATTGCCTCTGTGAAGCTTTCTTCCCCAGTATTGCCTCCCAAACCAGCTTTCTCATCAAGGATAAAACCCTTTTGCCTCACCGCTTTAATCACGCTTTGGGCATCTTCTAGACCCTTCTCTTTGCAATACCCATCGACCAAACCTACAAAGGTCATCAGGTTGGGGGAATGTCCAGCCTCCAACATCTCCAAGCAAAACTCGAGGGCGTCCTCTAATCTCCTGCCCTGACAGAGCCCCCGGATTAAGATACTGTAACTAAAAGCATTCGGAATAATGCCATTGCCTTGCATCTTCCGAAAAATTCTCACAGCATCATCATATTTGTGGGCTTTACAAAATCCTTCTACAACAGCAGTGTAGATAACAACTTCAGGTATGGTACCTTTTTCACGCATCAGGCCAAAGAGCTTCATGGCCTCCTGGACCAAGCCGTCCTTGCAAAGCCTATCAAGCATAGCTACAACGTTGGGTATTAGGCCAGTTTCTTTCATTTTCTTGAATATCTCATCTACATCTTCTGGTGGAGCTGGAGCTGACTCGGAAGCAGGAGTGTCACCCCTTTCACCTTTGGGTTGGAGCGCAGGATTGGTGTTTGGATTTTCATCTTTATGATCAAATCCAAGCTGAAACCTTTTCAGAAAATCTTGGCTATCCTGGGACTTGATTTGATTTTCATTATTCTCACCAGGTCTTCTAAAAGCTGTAGAATGGGTGGGGTTACTGCTGCTGGGGCGTTGTCTTTGGGATGGATTGAAGGGCCTTCGGGAATCAGCTCTTAAGGGTCTATTCGGTATAGGATCAGGAGGAGGAGGGTAGTCGGACTGAGTGGATTCATCAAAGTATTGGTTAGAGCTGCTAAACGAGCGTAATATTATGAGGAAAATGTCTCATTTACATTCACCTTGGGAGAGCAGAGACTGCTGTAATATTTCCAATAAATGTTAATACTCTTATTTCTCAATAATGTTGTTCTCATAATGCTTATGTACCCGTTTCAAAATAGTGCCAGGTGTTACTAAGTTATTCAAGTCAACAAAAAATAGTTTTATCCTGCTAATCCCAATGACCTGTAGAGAAAATAATGAAACTTCAGCCGAAATATCCATTCATACCGTGCAATCAAAGACATTAAATCACTCTAATGAACTTTCTTTTACTCTACACCTACAATTAGCAGCATTTTAAAAAAAAGTAGAGGATTAAACCATATGATAGCATAAAAATGATGAATGACAAAAAGATATAAGAGAACATGAAGCAGCGGCAGAAGAGTATCTGGCAATGGTAAAAGTGTCAGAGATCAATGGCCAAAACAGAAAAAATGACCAATACAGCAGCTAAAGGCACAACACCAATAAGCGATGTGCGCATAGCAGATAAGTTCACGTCCAGCAACAACTTGAACATGGATATACCAAAATAATCTCTTGAAACTGTCAGAAACAAAAATATTCACTTATGATTCCCTTGCTCACATTACAAGTGACTTGTATCCACTTAATAAATCAATTAATCGATTATACCTCAATTAGCTACACGAAACCTGTGGATCCAATCTACTCTATTTGGACTTATATCATTCCAATACTAAATAATTTGTCTTGTAAGATCTCATGCTCAGTTTAATGAATGTTGTGATTTCTACAGCACTATTTGATTCAAATTCATTAGCATATCTTCCCCCTAAACCTGACCCCAACTATTTAGCAATACTTCGTTCTTATCATCTGCTTCTCATAAATTTCAACCATCTGCTTCTTCATAAATTCTCATAAAGGATGTCCACAACATTGATCAGCTATGTGGTAAGAGCAGATAAGTCCAGAACAGTATTATCAAAGGAGAAAAGCGCAAAAAAACTCTAAGGTCTATTGGGGCTTTTAATGCAAAGCGCAAAAAAAAAAGTGAGATTTAATTAAGAAAGGCGCAAATGGATAAAAACTACAAATATGTATATGTAGTCCATGATTAATATCTATAAGCATGAATACCAAATATATGGACAAAGAAATTGAAGAAAATTTACGATAAAATGATATTGTATGCCTTAGAGCCACGATGACACCACTAAAGCGCTCGCTAAGCAAAGCGAAGCGCTCAACATGTTTTGAGCCTCGCTTCAAGGTTTAAACGCACCTTTGATAACAAAGACATGGAAATACCAATACAATATTTTTAAGATTGTTGGTACAAAGCAACTATTTCTAGTTCCATTGTTTACCCTACAAGTGACTCGTATCCACTTGATAAATTAATCAATCCACCGCACCTCAATTTCAAACTAGTAGCAGTCAGCTACATAAATCCTATATATTCAACAACAACAACAACATACCCAGTATAATCCCACAACTGGAATCTGGGGAGGGTAATGTGTACACAGACCTTACATCTACCCTGTGGAGGTACAAAGGTTGTTTCTGAAAACCCTCGGCTCAAATCCTATGCATCCATTCTCCTTTATTTGGACTTATTTTATTGCAATACTAAAGTTTGTCTTTTATGTCAAACTAAGGTTTAACCAAACAAAAAAAAAGTTATCTAAATACCCTACTTATCCCACTTATATCCAATGATAATGACATCATAGAACATCATGGAAATGTAATTAATCCAACTCCTCAAGTTAAACATCGTTGAAATGTAATCTCAAAAAGGCCACACAAATATAGTTTTAAACACAAAATCAGTTAACAAATAGTATCAATTAATCAACTAGTATCACATTGAGAAAAGGGAAATTGGGTGGGGAGAGTATTACACTGCACTCACTAACAATTACTCTCACAGACCCAATTTATTTGGCACTTTTGCTTATCGAGAGCCAAATTAATTAATTTTCTGCGCTAAACAGGACAAGATGAATTTATTTTTCAAAAAGAACTCAATTATTAGTTGCAACTCTCCTCATATCAAAATGGTTAAAAAAAGTACATTACAAAATAAAGGTTAAAGTTCCCTAAACAGAGAGTTTTGGTAAAATGATTAGAAGCTCTTTTTTCTTCAGAAAAAGACTAGAAATTTATAACTGCACAATAATATTTCTTCTTTACAGGTTATCAACAACAAAATACTTCAATTTTTTGACTCATTACAAAGAGAAATACAAAAGAGAGTGCATACGAAAGTAAGAAGTGAGCTTACAGTTACAGCGGTATTTCGCCGCAAAAAAAGATGAACATCTTTCCTAATTTCCTCTTGCGAATTTGATTTCATTTGCTCATAATCCCATAATCTCAAAAAGAAGAAAATAGATAATAGCTTTCATATTATAATAGTAGTACCCAACTTGATTTAACCAGAAACTAGAAAACTTGTTTCCAAATGATTTGGACCAAATCCTAAACAATTTAGGTTTAGGACTCTTGGTCTACTTCCTACAAAATTGATGAAAATCTTTTCAAGTAGTAGCAATAAAGGTGATGTTGTAGCATTTTCTTCTTCCTTTTTAACATTTGTAGTGGTGTTTTGAACACTTGATCCGACTTAACAAGTCAAATTCACAATTTATTGACATTTAAACATCAAAAAACACTGTTAAAAGATTGGCACAAGAGAATAGAACCTTTTACCAAACATTATGCAATTTGTGTTAAAAGAGAGCAAGAAATGTGAGTTTTCATATTTTTACTTGAGTCCGAGCCCAGGTAACTTCACAGATTTTTTTTTAGGCTGACTCACTACTGAAGCAGCATGTAGCGGAGGAAATTCCCCCCGACTACTGAACCAGCATTAAGTAGAAAGTCCAAATTGGGCCAGAACGTGCGAATTTTAGAGATAATTGGGCTAATTGGCCACTTTTTGGTCTGTTTTAAATATTAACCACCTGTTTTAATGTAGTTGAAGAATAACCAATTTTATTAGTTAGTCTAAATTGCAGCATTAATTAAACTAAAAATAACCGTAAAATACTATAATTTATATATAATCTATATATAATATGTGTATAATCAGATATAATCTATGTTACCGGCTAGAGAAAGTAAATAATAAAATCGGGCGGCTATATGCGTAAAGATCCCTTCTTCATCCCTTTGCTTGCTTTTTCCCTGAAGTTTGAACTGCTAGAATATTTTTCTGAAATTTTGAATTGTCTTAACTAAGAGTCTGTTTGGAATTTACTTTTTTTTTCGAATTTTTTTCACTTTTTTGAAATCAGTGTTTGGCCATAATTTTGTTAGTTTTCACTTGGAAGATGAATTTCGGAATTTTTCGAAAATTTTAAAAACTCAAAAAACTGTTTTTCAAAATTTTTACTCAGATCACTCACAAAAATTTAAAAACAACCCAAAATCATATTCATGTCCAAACACAACTCTAATTTTAAAATACTATTTTCACTTGAAAAAAGATTTCACTTTTTTTACAATTCTCATGTCAAACACCCACTAAAACTCCACATTTCTTTCTGTGTTATGATAAATATCACATTATGGTAGATGTCTACTCTTCTTCCATGATCTTCATCTCAAATGCTTAATGACATATTTTGTATGTTCAATGACATATTTTCTTCACTTTTTATACATATATAAAGGCCTTGTAATAGATAGAAAAATGCATACAATTAAAGAAAAAAATCTCTTCCTTCTCTCTATCTCCATTTCTTATTCATGTTTTACTGAATTGCTTTTATTTCCTTGTTCCATATTGCTACTTTGAATTATATTTCATAACACGTTATCAGCACGAGTCTCTAACCAATTGTATATATATATCTACAAAAAATTTCCTACATCCGAAAAGATTACAATTAGAAGTCATACATATCATCACATGGTTAGGTATAACGAGAAACTACATATGGTAAATAATGAAACGTAAGAAGATATGATTGTCTTATACTTGTCATTCCTCTAATATCTCGTATGCACACATCTTTGTACTACACATGTATTGCATAAGCACATATCAATATTACATCTTTTATATCACATGAATGGAATGAAATTTTTGAAGTTCTATATGTGAAAATCATAGTAGTAGTTAATTGTTGATATGATGCATGTCATGGTAACCAAAGATATGTTATATAAGTTGTCTTATGCTTATTTGTATGCTAACTATCTTCAATTTGTCTTGCCGCGTTTAATATTTTTTACTTGGATGAATATTTTTTCCTTTTGGGTCTTTGCACTTGCATAAAAAAATGGTCATACTAATTAGTAGGGGTGTTCATGGTTCGGTTTTTCCCTAAGAAGAAACCAAACTAAGTAAGTCGGTTTTTCAAATATTAGAACCAAACCAAACCAATTATGTCGGTTTTTTCTCGATTCGATTTATGCCGGTTTTTCGGTTTTTTCGGTTATTTGTCGGTTTTTTCTTAAATATAAGACATACACTACCAAACACACAATTGAAGAAGAAAATCTCTTCCTTCTCTCTATCTCCATTTCTTGTTCATGTTTTACTAAATTGCTTTTATTTTCTTGTTCCATATTGTTATTTTGAGTTATATTTCATAACACGTTAATAAGATGTATTAAAGACCTCAACCATACACATTTCGACGATCACATTTTCAACGTAACACTATCAAATCAATTGCCATTTGAGAAATGATTTTGCTTATGATAATTTTGACCATGACAATTTATTATGATATAATTTTCTCAGTGAAGGGGAAATTTACCATATGAATAGTATGATAAAAGATCTTATAGTACAAAAGTTGTTAAGAGCTCCGGAAAAACTAATTTGTTACTATTCGGATGAATAAAATTATTCATGACATTGATATGTAAAGTCTCAAAAGAAACTTTTTGAGTTTCAAATGTATAAGTCAAAGTGGTAGTCATATTGCGACATTAAATGAAAGGAAGATTGAATATCTTCCCTATAATCATACCGGGTAAATATGAAAGGTTACCCGATTTTATTTCTATTTGTACTACACAAATATAAGCATGATGCTTGAATCGTATGCCACAAGTAAACTACAGGTTTACTAAAACAAGTAATAGTTGGCATAACCGGTTGACCATCCCGGTTCAATTATGATGCGAAAAAAATTAATTGAGAATTACATTGGCATATATTGAAGAACATAAGATTCTTCAAGAATTCTCTTGTGCTGCTTATTCTCATGATATACCAGTTAAGGTTGGGATTGTATCTCTTGATTTCTGGAACAAATAAAAGGTGATAAATATATGGGCCCAGTCACCTGCCATGTGGACTGTTTACCATTTTAAATATATGTGAGCACGTGATTTTTGTTTCGCACGACAATCGCTCCAAGAGAAATAAAAAATAATAATAATTGGCCCTGCTGTACAAGTTTGGGATTTTTACCTGGNTCTTGATTTCTGGAACAAATAAAAGGTGATAAATATATGGGCCCAGTCACCTGCCATGTGGACTGTTTACCATTTTAAATATATGTGAGCACGTGATTTTTGTTTCGC